ATTGTAACATTCTTCATTCTTCCACTGGGTAAGTATATTAGTTCTAGAGGCAATACTGTGCTTCGTAACTTTGACAATTTGGCAATTCATCTATTCGGACATTTGGAAGTACCCGAATGTCCGAGTTGCCCAAAATTCGTCCGAATTCACATTCAGACCGAAACGAATTGCACATGTCTACCAGTTAGTATATAAACCGAGTCTCCAGTGAGTTCAACACAGTGACCAATATCCATATAATATGTAAATTACTTGCCACTGTTATTTCAGTTCATCCAGAGTGCCAGATGACCCAGTTCCATTTTTCAAATATGTACACTATGACCTTTCATGTTCCAGTAAAACAGTCTGTGCTTGTACCTGTGATCGTCCAGTCCAGTCTATAAGGGGACATTATGAGCAATCACTAACGGTAATTCACTACAGTGAGAATTCAAGGAGAATTCCAATTTAATTAAAAATGCAAGTACCCAAACAACACAACATATCTCCATAAATCTTACATCCCCTGATAGCTCTGATCTGGGTGAACAACATATCCACCCAGATCATATAAGGGGTTCAGAAATTTTATGGAAGTCATATTGTTGCCCAGACAAACACCGGATTTCATGCCCAAAATAGTTCCATAGAATTGCGGCTAAGTGCCGCTGGAGGACCGGGAACCGCAAGGTTTTCATGCCGAAAATAGTTCCAGGGCATTCGCGGCTAAGTCCCTCTGAAGTCTATTCACAGTTTTGGTCCATGCGAACAAGATGGCCGCCACCATGTGTTCAAATGTCGAATAGCGGCCACTTTGACTGTTCGAAGAACCATTGTTTAAAGTCCCAATAGCCACAAATAGGGTCTCTCAACCACGATAAATTAAAGGGACCATAGTCACAGGGTAAAAGGCTGGCAAGTAGTCCCCTCCAAAACCCAGTGGCAAGGTCACTTTCGCCACAGAAACTAACATCCACCAGAGCTGAGCTCAATCCAGCTGGTATAGAATCATTGCAGACAGGTGAGAGCCTAGGCAGGGCTGGACTGGGGATACAAAGCAGCCGCACCGTCACGGCTTACCTTAGTTGGGAGTCCGGTAGGCAGAGACTTATGTTCACCCTTGCAATTAAACACAGGCCAATGTGGTCAGGTAAGAATTCACCTGACCTGTGAGTCTCTGTACAGGGGCTGTTCAGGATATTGCTCCAAGTCACAGTACAGGGAAGGACACAAGCAGGAGAATTGTCAAGGGTAAGCCAAAATCAGAGGATGCCAGAAGTCAGGATACACAGTAAGAAAGCCAAGGTCAGGACAGGAGCCAACTGGAGAACACTGGCATCACAAATACTAACACAGGAACCAGAGTCAATGAACTGACACTACCCTCAGGGAGAGGTAGTGTCTTATACCTGTCTAATTAGGCCTATGCTGATAGGAGCAACCACAGTGGCTCTGAGGCAGGAATGCATAAGTCCTCAGGTTCAAATCCACTGTTGTGCATTTCTAGGGCGACCACGTCTGGATGTCATGGCAAGACCCGTGACGCACACACACAGATTAATGTAGTGGTTCTGGTGTCTATAGCCTGCAGGCATTTCAATGTAAACACTTTCTTCCTAGTGACATTCACTCAGACAGTCACAAGAGGTGCTTCCTGTGTCAATGCTGGAGCTCTGGAGGCACTGAATGTTCCCCATAGAGATACATTGATTCAATGCATCTCTATAAGGACATGCTAATTGGTGTAGCTTTTTGCAGCCAATCCTATGGTAAAGCATTGGATTGGCTGAGATCATCAAGCTTGATCTCAGCCATAGAGGCAGGGACAGTCGAGGGGAGACCAGCACGGCGTGAGTAAAAACACAAATTTTTGACACAAACATACACAATGACAGACACACACACCCCATGACACACACACATACCATGACAGACACACACACACACCTTGACAGACAAACACAGACACACACACATACCATAACACAGACACACACACCATGACAGACACATACACCATGACACAGACACACACACACCATGACAGACACTCACACTGACAGACTGACAGACATTATTGCTACCTGTGGGCGACCGGCCAGGGGGTCGTGCAGGGCAGACAGCTGGGTGTGCTGGCGGCCGCAGGGGGAGCTGTTCTGGCGACTGCAGGAGAAGCTGTGCTGTCTTCGCTCTGCTCCCCAGAGCGCAGCTTAAACGGACACTATATTCACCTGTACAACTTTAGCTTAATGAAGCAGTTATGGTGTATAAAACATGCCCCTGCAGCCTCACTGCTCAATCCTCTGCCATTTAGGAGTTAAATCCCTTTGTTTATGAACCCTAGTCACACCTCCCTGCATGTGACTTGCACAGCCTTCCATAAACACTTCCTATAAAGAGAGCCCTATTTAGGCTTTCTTTATTGCAAGTTCTGTTTAATTAAGATTTTCTTATCCCCTATGTTCATAGCTTGCTAGACCCTGCAAGAGCCGCCTGTATGTGATTAACCCCTTAAGGACCAAACTTCTGGAATAAAAGGGAATCATGACATGTCACACATGTCATGTGTCCTTAAGGGGTTAAAGTTCAATTTAGAGATTTAGATACAATTATTTAAGGTAAATTACATCTGTTTGAAAGTGAAACCAGTTTTTTTTCATGCAGGCTCTGTCAATCATAGCCAGGGGAGGTGTGGCTAGGGCTGCATAAACAGAAACAAAGTGATTTAACTCCTAAATGACAGTGAGATTGCAGGGGAATGATCTATACACTAAAACTGCTTTATTTAGCTAAAGTAATTTAGGTGACTATAGCGTTCCTTTAATGAGACCGGGGCCGGAATATGACATCATATTCTGGCCCCGGTCTCATTAAGTAGCGCGCGAAGGCGGGGGAGCAGAGCAGAACAGAGACAGCACAGCTCCTCCTGCGGACGCCAGAACAGCTCCCCCAGCACACCCAGCTGTCTGCCCGGCCCCAGGTGCCGATGGCCCACCGAGAAATTTCCCGGTATCCCGGTGGGCCAGCCCAGGTTGGAGGACGGACAAGACAGGGGGATATGATAGAAACATTTAAATACATAAAGGGAATCAACACAGTAAAGGAGGAGACTACATTTAAAAAGAAGAAAAACTACCACAACAAGAGGCATAGTCTTAAATTAGAGGGGCAAAGGTTTAAAACTAATATCAGGAAGTATTACTTTACTGAGAGGGTAGAGGATGCATGGAATAGCCTTCCAGCTGAAGTGGTAGAGGTTAACACAGTGAAGGAGTTTAAGCATGCGTGGGATAGGCATAAGTCTATCCTTGCTACAAGATAAGGCCAGGGACTAATGAAAGTATTTAGAAAATTGGGCAGACTAGATGGGCCGAATGGTTCTTATCTGCCATCACATTCTATGTTTCTATCATGTATAGCTTAGAAATCAGAACAGGCATCCATATGAAAACTCTAAATTTACATCATACTCATGATTTGGTTAAAGGACCACTCTAGGCACCCAGACCACTTCAGCTTAATGAAGTGGTCTGGGTGCCAGGTCCCTCTAGGATTAACCCTTTTTTTTATAAACATAGCAGTTTCGGAGAAACTGCTATGTTTATAAATGGGTTAATCCAGCCTCTAAAGCCTCTAGTGGCTGTCTCATTGACAGCCGCTAGAGGCGTTTGCGTGCTTCTCACTGTGAAAATCACAGTGAGAAGACGCCAGCGTCCATAGGAAAGCATTGTAAACGAGTATGTTTTCCTGGCACTATAGTGATCCTTTAATGATTATACCTTCTAGAATAGGCATCATCAACCTTGTAAATATTATTTATTATATTAATAAAAGGAGGACTGTCACATCCTCTAGCAATGTTTAATATTATATTTTTCTTATTTCCTATATTTGACAATATTGGCTTGTTTCTAAGGTTGTCGAAATCGGTTACCAACAGACTGGTACTTTCAGCTGTTTCAATGCTACAAATGTTACGATTAATGACTAGTAATTAGCAGCTGCCACCATCACGTTTAGCGTTTCCTGTAGATATTAGTAGGAGACAATACACTCTAAGTAACACCAGGTTTCCGTGCAGATCGGATGCAGATGTTAACTTACTCAACTTTACACCTACAACAGATTGGTCCAAAGTGAATAATACACATTATCACCTGTAAACTCCCAATACATCCTAATGAGAAAAAAAAAAGATATTCATTCCAGAGATAAGTAAAATTAAGCATTAAAGCGTATAAGCAGTGTGTATGTAGTTTTTTTCAATAAATTCTTGTAGAATGTAGCAAGTCCGGTATGAAAACACTTTATTCACTAAACAGTAAATTGTAGTGAAATGGAAATCAAACCGCAACGTTTCAGCTAGAATAGGCAACCTGTAACGTTAGCTGAGTTAGAGATATCTAGCAATTTGTTTCACAATTCAGTTTGCTGTTTAGTGAAAAACCTCTTAAAGGGAACATTCTGAGACGATTGCAGGTGAAGTGCACAAACAGCACCCACACACAGCACCTACACACATACAGCACACACACTCACAGCACCATCACAAACAGACACACAGCACAAAAACAGCACCCTCACAAACACACAGCACCTCACACACAACACACTAACAGCATCCTCACAAACACACACACACACAGCACCCTTACAAACACACAGTACCCTCACACACAACACCCTTACATACAGCACACTAACAGCAACCTCACAAACACACACACACATAGCACCCTCACACACACACAACACACAAACAGCACCCACAGCACACAAACAGCACCCACACACACACAGCACCCACATACATCACACACAAACAGCATCCTCACAAACACACACACAGCACCCTCACACACAACACAATAACAGCACCCTTACAAACACACACACACAGCACCCTTACAAACACACAGTACCCTCACACACAACACCCTCACCCACATAGCACACTATCAGCACCCTCACACACACATCACACTAACAGCACCCTCACACACAGAACACTAACAGCACAAACACACACACAGCAGTATGTATGTATGTGTGTGTATATATATATGTATATATATATATATATATATACATACATACATACATACATACATATACATGCGGCGTGTGTTTGTGCTTTAGGTTGCACACCCTAATGCAATCGGCTGTGCACGCCTATGGAGAGGGCAGTGGATGCATGGAATAGTCTTCCAGCTGAGGTGATACAGGTTAACACAGTGAAGGAGTTTAAGCATGCGTGGGATAGGCATAAGGCTATCCTAACTATAAGATAAGACCAGGGACTAATGAGAGTATTTAGAAAATTGGGCAGACTAGATGGGCCGAATGGTTCTTATCTGCCGTCACATTCTATGTTTCTATGTACTCAGATATAGAGTGGCCCTGCCGTGCCCCCAAATGACCAGTGTGCCATCCCACAAATCCTAGAAAGCAGATGGAAGCAATGAATAGGTGATCATGCTGAATAACTTGGTAGCTGGCTGACAGAACGTGCACACTGACACAAAGTTATACCTTTTTTATTGGCATTACAGTAATGATTGGACTATCTATAGTTTTAACATTAAATATATGCCTGTTCTAACAATCTGCCGCACTCAGTGTATAGGTGGAGTGTAAGATGTTATATTTGCCACCTGAGGTTCACTTTAACATAAGCGGGAGACGTTACTTTGCAGAAACAAAGACTCCATAGCAACGCACAGACCTCGGCAGACCTGCCTGCTAATTGCTTTTATAACCAGGTAACTGTACAATGCTTATCTGGTGTCCTGAGATGCTCTAAACTTGGGGGAATGCTAAGCACTGGAAAAAAAAGGTTATCTCTGAAAAAAAGTTTATCATTGAGCAAACTAGTTCACTAACCCTCACTACAATTCTGGCAAGTCACTTATTATTATTATTATTGGTATTTATATAGCGCCAACTAATTCCGCAGCGCTTTACAATATTATGAAAGGGGGGTAAATTTACAATAATTGAGACAATTACACAGTGACACAGGAACAATAGGTAGATGAGGACCCTGCTCAAACGAGCTTACATTCTAGGGGATCTACCCGGTATGGTAGTGGGCTAAAACAGGAAGTGAGACAAAATCTCTCCCCATCCCGTAATACAAGAGGTACTCTTAGTGAACTGGGTTGGAGCTGAGTGTAGGCACTATTCAGGCCCACTTTGTTTTTCTGGAGGACTGAGGATAATGTATTATTCTGGCACCAATGTCAACATTTTGACAGATGAATTTCATTAACTTTAAGACAGTATTTTTTAATCTCTGTATTGGGAGTTGAAATTTGTTACAAATAGGAGTATCATATATCAAGTCCCAGGCAATTCCCACGCACTGCTTGGCCCCCTTCGTGAACTCAAAGGAGCCACGTTGAGCTCCAATCAAAGGTTTCTCGTATAGACGCCTTTGTTTATACCCAGTGGGGTACACACGACCCATGGGGCCATGGTACGAAAAATGATCCGTGGGTCCCCCCTCCCCGCTTACTTTGCACAGGCTGGGGCCCAAAACATGGCAGCGGGCACCTGGTCGCAGGGGCTGTGACCGCAGTATGTAAGCCAGTGCATGCAGATACACACACACACTTAAAGCACCACTACAGACACCCAGATCACATCAGTTCAATGAAGTGGTCTGGGTGCCAGGTCCCTCTAGTTTTAACCGTGCAGATGAAAACATATTTCACTGAGGGTTAATCCAGCGTTTAGTGGCTGTCTCACTGACAGCCGCTAAAGGCGCTTCCGGGATTCTTACTGTGAAAATCACAGTGAAAAGACGCTGGACATCCATAGGAAAACATTGAGTAATGCTTTCCTATGGGCGGTCTGAATGCGCGCGCGGCTCTTGCTGAGAGGCGGATCGGGGCGGAGGGATCCCCAGCGCCAAGGGAGTCCGGCGCTGGAGAAAGGTAAGTGCTGAAGGGGTTTTAAACACACACACACACACTCTCACGAACAGACGCATACACACTAGCTAACAGACACACACATTTACTGGCAGAGACACACTCAGCGACATACATACATACACACTCACTGCCAGACAGACACACATACACACTCACAAAACATACACTCTCGCTGACAAACACACACTCACTAACAGACATCAAACAGACTCACTAACAGACACACACAAACTAACACACTCAGTAACAGACACACACAGTAACACACTCACTGACACACACACATTCACTGACACACAAACTAACACACACTGACACTAACTAGCAGACACACACTCAATAACAGACACACACAAACTAACACACACACAAAAACTAACACTCACTGACACTCACTAGCAGACACACACACTGACATACACACACACTCGAAACACTAACACATATACACACTTTTTTTTAAAACTGTGATCCCCCAGCCTCCCTACCTTTGGGAGTGCTGAGGGGATTCCCTGAGGTCCAGTGGTGTTGCTGGGAGGCCGGTCCTGCGGGCGCACGAGGGAGCACTGAGACCCTCCTGTTCAGCTCCCTCATGCGCTGCTTACTGATGCAGGAGCTGGAATATGACGTCATATTCCGGCTCCAGCCTCAGTGTGGTGCGCGCGATGGAGTTTGGCAGAGAGCCCGTCGGACCGGCCTCCCGGTGACACCAGGGCCAGCCTTGGGGGGCCCTGAGGTTGCCAACTCCTGGGCCCCCCAGGAGAAGAGGCTGGCCACACTGGCATACATACCGGGTCACAGGGCGGCCGGGCCGGGCCTGGTCGCAGCCGCGACCCCGGTATGTTTATACCATTTAACCGGCTCCGAGTGCATGTTATGAACCTGTGAAGGGATCCGGAGAGGGACAGAAGGAGGAGAGAGGGCTGGAAGGAAAAAAAATTAGTGAATGGGATAAGGGAGGTGGGACTGGGAGGGCTGCAGGAAAGAAGGGAGGAAGAGAAGACACAAATTTCCCCTTGCAGGCTTTGCCAGCAAAGCATAAGTCGTGAATGTCTTTCACCACCCCGCAGTGTGTGCTGACAAAAGACCTGAAATATGCATGGAATTTACATTAGGAGTCCGGAAAAGAGCTGCCCAAGTCACGTGTGCCGAAGTGTGACTAGCCTCAGGCACACAAGTGCCAATAACTCTGGATGTGCTGAGTTGCAAGCTGAAACACTGCACATCCAGACTCCTACCACCATGACCATATAAAAAAGCAGAAGTGGTTGTGGTGGTTGGAGTAACTCTTTAAATATATTACTCTTAAAGAATTGGTCCCTCAATTAATTTACACTTGAAGAATGGGACTCCAAGTTTATCCCACATACTAAATTTGGGTCCAACAAAAAAAGTCAGAAACTACTACATTAAGCTGTGGGGTAAAGTTTATTTTTTTATTAGTAGGTAGTAAAACAAGGTAATATATGAATATAATATAAATAAATTAGACATCGCAATAACTTTTTTAAGAACGTTAGCAATGTATAAGGGAATAACAGTAGTAAAGTTCTGAAATAATAGGGAGTTATTTTAACCCCATATTTCTCCTAGGCAATGCATAGCCTGGACTGATTTTTGCTTCTAATGGTAACGTGGAGCCCATTGTGAGCCTTCAACGCGAGCTTGTGACTTTTCACCCAGTTGGATCAGCCCACTGGTATTTTTTTTTCTTTTGGCTGACTTACATAAAAAGTAGCATTATGCGTGCTAGACAAGGAAAGTACTTTCAGTTCCTGTAAAATTGGCTCTAAATCAGGCCTGTTGTGTAATGCTATTATCCATTTGAATCTCTTCCAAAAATAGTAAAAAAAAAAAAAAAAAGAATATAGAAAAACACTAAACAACAAATATGAATTTGTTATACAATAAAGTGCAGTGGGCCAGTCACCGAATATAGAGAAACAAATGGAATACACTGAAACAAGACAACATATATACATAAATGTTTTCTTTCTTTGATAGTATTTTAAATCATGTCACCATTTCCCGGAAAGGTAAGTATTTTTACATTGTCCAAAAAAACCTACAGTATCTGTGCACCAAAACTACTACAATAATATACAGTTGTTTTAGTCCTTAGATGCATACCAGAAGATATTTCTCTAAATACAATATGGCCGCCACAATGGGTGAGAAAGCAGCATGTACAAAGCTCCCAAAATGGTCCCCAACATTCCATTTTGCTTAGTGTGTGGCCTCCCATTAAGAGTTGTTTGATGACAACATATCCCTCATTTAGGGGAATGGCAGGTGCTCTTCCTGATAACATAGACTGGACTCCATGTTTGGTGTCTACTGGGATATTAATAAAACATATAGGACCAAAATTTAATCTATACATTTGCTAAACACAAGAGGATAATTGGATAAATGAAAGACACACAAGAGGGTGAAGGGCATAAGGGGAGTAAGGAGGGACCCAAAAGAGGTGTGGGAGTAAGGAGAGACACACATGGTATAAGTAGAAAACTACATAGTAATCTATCTACAATAGGCTGGTATGAGCTTCCAGAAATGACACACAAGTAATAAGACATTGCAGAGAAACACACAGAGTGACAACAGTTTTAGACAGACAATTCGTCACCGGGTGCCAAATACTCTCCAGTTATGCTTTAATGTGTCTAAAATTGCAATTGATTTTATTAATTCATGTTGTATGACCTTTTCTGGTACAGCCAGAGCATGGAATGCAAATTCATTTAAATGAACATTACAAGTACCATAACCACTGCAATGCACCGTAGTCTTTATGGTGCCACTTGTGCACCCCACATCCACTACAGCTACCGAAGAGCCAGAAGTTGCTGCTTAGGACCTTCTGTAAGCTCTCCTGACCTAATAGCTGCAGTGCAGCCTTCACTCTCAGTGAAGGTGGGTCGCTGTGCCTGGCTGATATCAGGAAAGCATTCAAAAAAGGTTTGACTACAGCCTTTGCGGAGGTGCCAGGGCACTTCTATCACCATAACCACTATGGTTATAATATTTATGGTGATTGGAGTGTTCCTTTAACCCTAATTGTGCTACATGGACACATGCACAATAAAAGTAGTATGGTAGAAATGCCCAAGCAAGCTCGGCACTTTATAAATAGCATGAATGAACCCTCCCATGACATTTTATAAATAGCATGAATAAATACTCTCATTATGGAATGCTGCACTTTTAATAGGGTGAAGGAAAGTGATTAATAACGGAAAGTCACTTCCTTTAACCATAAGGACTGAAAGGCTGTGTGGTTATTAGTTAATCTCTCATGCCTTTGGATTCTGAGTAATCGTTCTCCTTTGCCACACTCTGCAAAAAAGGTCTCTGATCTGATCTCATCTCCCCAGCCAGAGCATGACTGTGCAGCCATCCGGGCCCCTGACTGCCTCGGGCCCTCTGTCCATGACCAATCTACCCGAGTGTGTGTATCTGTGTTTTTGTATGTGTGTGCATCTGTGTGTTTGTATGTGTGTATCTGTGTATGTGTAGTGTATGTATGTATCTGTTTGCATGTGTGTAATGTGTTTATATATAGTGTGTGTATCAGCCTCCCCATAAGTCTCATTGTCACAGTCCCCTCATGTGTCTTATTGCCCCCAGAACCCCATGTGTCTCATTGTCCCTGCCCCATGTGTCTCAATACCCCCAGACAGTCCCCCATGTGTCTCATTGTCCCACCTCCCATGTGTCTTATTGTCCCAGCCCCCCATGTGTTTCATTTTCATTTTCCCCAGCACTGTCATATGCTCACTTCCCTGCTCTTGTGTAGCATGGCCGAGTGCTGACTGTGGAAGCTTGTTTCCCTTTTCCCAGTCTTACAGGAAGCAGTTTGGTGCTCTCAGTGAGCGTTTCCTGTGCCGTCTTATAGTAGACCTGGCCCAGGTCACATTTTTGTTACATTTTCGTTCATTTGAAGAAAATTGCAACTAATTTTCGTCATAACTTTCGTGATTTAAACCAATTTTTATTTAGTTATTGTTTCGATTTCGTTAATGAAAACTAGCAGCTGATGAAAACTATGACGAAAATTCTTCGCCATCGAAAGTTAAAACTGCTTGCAAGATAGTTCGCAACCAACATGTGACAAATACCATAACTATGATACACACCCTGCACCTAAAATGGGCACAGTGTGACTCAGTCATAATGTATGTACGTAGTGGGGAATCGCAATGCAGCCTAACACCAATCTAAACCCATTTACCTCCCCAATAACGACAGACCACTTAGTATGGATGAACAGGCCACAGCATTTATTATCACAAACTAAATTACTGCACAACACATCCATAACTTTGTTTATTAAATCTCTTCTTTCTGTAACCAAAAGGTTAGACATAAATAAGCATAAATTAACATATATACATATATAACTCCACCCATAGTGTTATACAGTGACCCAACCGTCCTTACCAATAAACATACAGTGGTTCCTAATCACCACTTCGTCTCACCTCCCCCCTCGTCATAAAAATCATATATTTCCAATGCCGCCATAAGCCGACCTTATCCACGCTCGATGGGCACGACACCTCAGGCAACCTAATGTTTAACCTTTTAAGCAGGGGAGGTTGAGACCTAAAAAAACTTGTTCATCTCATTCCGTATACTTAAACGTAACCACTAAAACTCAATTGGCAAGGACATACCCCTGGCTAGCTGTGACGAAATATACCAATAGGGCAGGCGGGAGGGAAACTGTTTGCTGGCCCGAAACCCAAGTGGCACTGAGGTAAGACCTCCCCCACACTAACTTACACAGAACATAATCCCACCCATACACTCTTTCCCAACCAATCCCATGCATCTATCCCCACACTCCTACATGTGCCCTTGTCCGCTTAGCTGCGCTATCTCCCCAGGGCCTGAAACATCTTGGAAACAGCAAAAGATATCAGACATACAAAAATAGACAGTCCAATAACTCCCAACAGAAACCCAGTCGCACATAACCCCATCTTAAGATGGAGCAACTCTGGCGATAATGGAGGCCAGAAGTTAACAAAATAGCTGCCACAGGGAAGGACAGAGTTCATATGGTCCCAACAATGGTAACTGCTATCACACTATGGATATCTGCTTTGATGCTCAGATGGATGATGTTACGACCCCCCCGATAGGAGAGGGGTTACTGCCGTATAGGACGTTCCCTTCCCGAACACAGAGGTAGCCACTGAGCACTCCAAACTGCCGAACAGCAATCACACAAACCAGTTAGTCTCCCAAACAGCCGAACAAGCGCAATGCATATGAATAATCCCCCTAATGACGAGACAAAGCTCCGTATTGAGGGTCAGCAGGAATCTGGTTTATTGATGGCTACCTGCCCGGTATTTATGCAGGTCTCCCACCTGGTGGACACTCCACTAGGGGACCAAATGGGTGACTGTGACAAGGACATTACATTGACCAATCAGAGTGTTACACATGTAGCCATGTCCCTTTAATTACCCAAGACCCTCTGCTCTGCCCGGGAGATAATTGTGAAGTAATTCAATTATCTCCCTGGACAAAGACCAAACGCCATCTTAAGTGACCATGACAAAAATGGTTAAAAATATATAACTTGACAATATTACAGTATAACATAGGTATTCAATGTGCCCCTAGATAGCTGGGATCTGAGCGCACAAAAGTACCGAATAGCGCTCAGATCCTAGGCACACAGTCCAATCGCCGTGGAGTCAAAGTGTTCACAAAGTCTGTTCTCCATACGAATAGACTCCACGGGATGGCTATCTGGGGTATGGCTTTTCGTGAATAAAAGTACCAAACATAGGGTGTTCGTGGGTTTTCTACCAAAGGAGAAGGGAGGTCAGCGGCTTCAGCGGTGTTCGTGCCAAATAGTGTCCGTTTTGAGTTCCATGAGTTTGCCATTGAACACCGCTGAGCGTTCGTGTATTTAAAATGGCCGCGACCTCGTGTTCTGGATATGAATGGCGGCCACCCAGCTACAGGCACCAATTAAGAGGTGTCTGCGGTTAACTTCAACGTTCTAATGGGGCCAAGAGGTTAACCAGCAGCACACTTCTCTACTGGGTGGCCGGCCGGCCGTTCGGGAGTTTTGTTCGGTAGTTTCAGGGGAAGTATATGGAGTCCATACGAACGGGGAACAACACGAATCAAATAAAATCACACAAATCAAGCAAACGAAGGAATAGTAGTTCCATGTAAGTCCAAGACAGAGAGATCTGTCACAGATGACACAGCATAATGATAGATACTGTCCAAGTTTTGTCAATAAACTTAAATAAGAACTGAACAATAAATTCAAGGAAGGTAATTTTTGGTGGTTATTAAAGATAAAGCTCTTGCAATACGGGAACACTGGAGGCTTGAGGGTTATTCTATCAGGTCCTCTTGAGGACAATGCAGCATGTGCTGCTCGAGGTGTAAACTCTTGAACAGGCTTGTCCCCGCTGCTTCAGCTTGCTCCATAATGCTCTGTGTTTGCATGAGGTCTTCCAAATCTTGGTAGGATCCCGCATGGTACATCGTGCCCTGCTGGGTAAACATAATGGTTTGGGGTAGTCCCCATCGGTAAGGAATGTCCTACGCCTGTAACTTCTGTAAGAGAGACACCAGGTCAAGGTGTTCCTCATGAGGTCCGGGGAGAGCATCAGGTGTAGTTGCCTCAAAGGAGATTGGTGACTTTCCCCTCACAGCCTCCAGGAGCAAAGCCTTGTCCTGTAGGGACTGGAATCTGATGATGAGGTCCGGAGAGACAAAGGGTGGTGCACCCGCAGGTATAGGGAGACGGAACATGCTGTCTAGCTTTATGGCCTTGGCATACTTAGGTGGGAGAAAGGCCGCAGTGCTCCGAGGCGTCCATCCTGTTGTCAGCCTTGTGCAGATTATGTTGTAAGTCTGCCAACCCTTTCTCCACTGCGGACAGCCTGATGATAAAAAAAATGTCTGCGCTGTGCTCATTTGTCACAAAATGATCTGGCACCTTCTGTAATTTAACTATTAGATTGGGCAACAATGATGATAACTTTAAAGTACAGTGCCTTCTATTTAATTACCATTTTACATTCTTACAATTCTATATTTATAAAATATTTTACCAGGATGGATACATTGAGATTTCTCTCATTTTCAAGTATGTCCTGGGTCCCCAAACATTGCACTGTGAATGCATAGTTTGTCATGCTCTTCACTGTTTGTATTTAAAGGGCCACTAAAGTAAAGCAGGGGCTGGGTGCAGTGTTTCTGCAATTATAAGCCTTCAAATTAAAACACTGCCATTTTCAGAGACAGTAATGTTTAACTTGAAGGGCTAAACACACCTCTAGTGGCTATCTCACTGACAACCTATAGAGGCGCTTCCACTACAACGACTGAGCAAAACTCAGTCACTTGCCATTTGATGTTGATCAATTGCAGCTCCCAGGAATGCAGTGCTTTTCTATGGGGAAGCTTGGACGTGCAAGTGGCACCTACTGTGCATGTGCATCATGTCCCCTCCTCTATGAGGAAAATTGGAATTGACCATTGCTGGAGGAAGCCATGCCTCCACGATGAGGTCGCAGGACTAGAAGAGGCAAGTAGCATCAAGGGAGTCTCAGCACTGAAGAAAAGTAAGTAAAAACCTTTTTTTTTTATTAATTTTATGGCAAATGGGGTTCAGGGTTTATATTCCTAGAGCTTTAGTGGTCATTTAAAGAGACACTACAATCTAGAGTCAAGGCGTGTTTTTAATGCAATATGCAGATAATACATTGAATATATGTAAGATTAATAAAGAATAAATACTTAAAAAGACGTCCCTGAATTTCTCTTGGTTCCAGATTCTGCACAGCAATGCAACATGGTGAAGATTAGTTGCAGGTTTTACATACTTCATTAACTAATGTAACATCCTCAGAGGGGACAGTTCCTCTTTAAATGGATCCACACAAGTGTCATTTTACTGGATTTCTCTTGCAACATAAATAAACCTTTTATGAGGTTTTGAAACCTGATGCCAAATTTACAGAGAGCTGTAATGTTGGCTGTTACACAATGTGCAACAGATCCAGTTATCTGGCCATATTTATTTTGCCAATATGCTCCAATACCCCATCCACTATATCAGACAGCTGGCCTAAACGGTCTCACTTCCTGAAAGCACTTAATCTAAATAAATTCACACCTTGCTACCCACACACTACCAAGCCCTTCAGAATACTATGTTTCACTTTAAATTCTTCAACTTTCTGGATCCTACCTAGGAGAGTAATGTAACTGTCAGAATTAAAACAGATGCTTTTGAGTTTTTTCATTTCAGAGCATTGTTTTTTTTAGTTAGTGCAATAGTCCACTGCTTTCTCGCTGGATAAAAAACTTCTTTTTTTTTTAAACCGTATGCACAAAAAATATAACAGGAGGTGCAATTGCTTCCTTGAGGGTTGACTTTAGAGTTAACCCCCGAAAACAAAATAAGGCAATATCACACGGTAATGCACTCCGTCAAAAATAAACAATAAAGTTGATCAATGAAATGACTCTTTATTAACTATATAAAACGTGTTCAAAACATTTAAACATTGGCATATAAATAGCACCCAAAAATAGCAGTGCATGAGAGGGGGTAAAGAGAGACACGTGCCACACGAGCTGGACTCGTTTCGTGCCTGAAGGACCCCTTGTGAACAGCTATCACTGGTGACTTTTTCATAAAGATAGAATGTTTGTAAGCAAAACATAGATTTAACCCCTTAAGGACACATGACATGTGTGACGTGTCATGATTCCCTTTTAGTCCAGAAGTTTGATCCTTAAAGGGTTAAAAATGTAACTTAAGGGACACTGTAGGCACTGTATCTGCTTCATCTCATTATAGTGTCTGGAGTCCCCTGGTACCATCATTTCTTTCAGCGTTAAACAGTTTTTAATGTTTTAATGCTAAACAAGAGTCCCCAGCAATCCATCCCCTCTGTGCTTCTTTGGCTAATAAGGAAGTATTAGCCTAAGCATTAATGGGCAGCTGTGATTGGCTGAGAATGTCAGCTGACTGCTTTTAGTCTGTCAGAACTCCAACTGATGGTATGAATGGGTATGACAACAAGGAAGTGTGTAATCTCTGCCTTAGCTACACATGCAGAAGGGGCTGGACTGTGGGTGGCCAGGGATTCTTATTTTGTGGCATACTGCACGAACATGGTGCAACACTAAATGGAGGGACAGTGTGAGGGCACTACAGGTACTATAACCAATTCAAAAAGATGAAATGGTTATAGTGATAACAGTGTCCCTTTAAATTTAGACGGTATTGGTATTTGAATGAAATTCCAACACAACCAAAAGATATAATAATTACAAACGGGCATTGTATTGTCCTAGTCTTATGCATAAGCTGATGTTTAACAAAACATTTCAGAATATGCAGCTTTTAACAATGGCCATGGTCCCTACTTACTATGTGGCATTGGTGATTACGCACAACACGTGACGTGTACTGGTATCTTCTGGTGCTACGATTACTATGGCATCTCATTGTCGGTGTTTGGGTCTCTGGAGGAAATTGCGATCACATGGGATCTTTTTTAAACCGCTGTTTTGATTTTGTGCAGCGACGCAGCTCCTAGGAGATGAAAAAAACAGGAGCTGAAGACTGAAAGAACTCATTCCACAGCACTTTATGATATTATTCAGGAGACTTTAACAACAAATGAGTCAAACTATTACAAATTTTGATAGAAACAATTGGTTGATGAGGACTCTGCTCAAATGAGAAATCTAGAAAATCTACAATTTAGTTTATCTCCCCACCACCTTTTCCTCTGAGAACATATATGATAGGAAATGTCACATTAAAAAAGCGAGAGAGTATGCAAAAATACACACAGAACCCAAGAAGAACAGTGTTAGTTTAACATTCAGTTTTCTTAATTGCCACCTTAAATTTCAAGTACAGTAATTGAAATGGATTGGTATATTTTATACAGTTACATATTGAGAAGTTCACTTTACCATCTGTTAATGAGGACAACATAATTAGTTCATAAAACATGAACAGTAAAACATTAGTGGAATTATAAATTGTACACAATATAGTTTTAAAGGACCACTATAGTGCCAGGAAAACATACTCGTTTTCCTGGCACTATAGTGCCCTGAGGGTGCCCCCACCCTCAGGGTCCCACTCCCGCCCGGCTCTGGAAGGGGAAAAGGGGTAAAAACTTACCTTTTTCCAGCGCTGGGCGGGGAGCTCTCCTCCTCCGATCCTCCTCCGTTCTGCCCCGTCAGTTGAATGCGCACGCGCGGCAAGAGTTGCACGCGCATTCAGCCGGTCGCATAGGAAAGCATTATCAATACTTTCCTATGGACGCTTGCGTGCTCTCACTGTGAAAATCACGCAAGCGATGTCAATGAGACAGCCATTAGAGGATTTGGGGGAAGGCTTAACCCATTGATAAACATAGCAGTTTCTTTGAAACTGCTATGTTTATAAAAAAAATGGGTTAACCCTAGCTGGACCTGGCACCCAGACCTGGCACCCAGACCACTTCATTAAGCTGAAGTGGTCTGGGTGCCTAGAGTGATCCTTTAATATCTACACTGGCAATAGAATGGCCCTTACCACCGAATTCAATGATGTAAAAAGTGTCACTGTCCTAGATTGCCCTGGTCACTTTGCCCTGTTAAAACTGGCTAAGACAAATCTAAGTGCTATTATTGTGAAATGACAACATGTAGGATCAACAAAAAGCTCATCTGGAAAGTAGTAGGCCACATAAGGTCACAGAATGGAACTGATAGATGAGGATGCATGTTGACTTTAAAGCACTCAGAGCCAACTACCAAGTTAGTAGAAGGAACGTTGAATTGTGATTTGAATGAATACTACAGGAGTGAGGCAGCAGGTACAATTTGTGTAATTCCTTTTGAACCTCAGCATTGGGTGGGTTTGTGCTTTAGCTGGTGCCCCACAATCTTTCTTGGTCTGGACTGGTCCACTTGGCTATTTTCTGGTGGACTGTAGTAAACCGGGACTGTCCAGGCTGGCAGACTATGATGAGTATGTATAATATTCTCGGAGTTGTTTACCACTGACCACATGGCAAGGCAGTATTTATGAAATTCATAACACATGCCAGCTTTTTATTAGTAGCAGCGGAGTTAAAGGAGACAGAGTCTGCTTCTTTTAGGCATGCACAGATCTCTGGTATATGTGATGTCACATCTAGCAACTCTAGCGACTTCCAGTGACAAAACACTTCTGTTCCAGGTGAGTTAGCCATACACAAAAAGTTTCATGCACAAATAAATGCTATTCATTTTACTTATCCCCCAAACAAAACATTACCAGCCCTGCCCTGCCCTGGCCATGCAGCTGCTCTCAAGACTCAAATGACTATGCAATGATGCAATGCCAAATACTTTACTGTCATTTGGCTCTGGAGTAGTGGAAATACTATATTACCAAACCATGCTTCACCATATGGCAGTTATAACATCTCCCACATCCCCTTCTGTCTCTCACCCATTTCCCCTTCTGTTTTTCTCTCCAACACCTTCCTTCTCTGTCTCTCTCCCATAACCCCTACTCTTTCCTGCTTACACCCTCTTCTGAGTCTCTTCTCTAAATTCCCCAACCCATTTTCAAATGCCTTTCTATCTTTTTCCTATTAGCAGAGGCGTAACTACCAAGGTCGCAGGGGTCGCAACTGGGACCGGACCCGTCACTCCAGGATGCCGTGGGCTTCCTGCATACCTTTAGAGCCAGTGCACTGACCTGGGGCCCGCGGGTGCCAGCTGACCGTCAGGAAGGGAGCACTGTGTTGTGCTCCCCTCCTGCTCTGTGTGTAGCATGGCCAGGCTGATAAGTCTGACAGGAAGTGTTCACTGAGAGAGCACTTCTTGTCAGACCGGGTACCGTGCTAAGTGAGGTAAAGAAGGGGAGGGAGTGTATGAGACAATAGAAAGGCTGGGAGTGAGGGAATCAGACACATAAAGGGGCTGGGGGGGTAGGGATGGAATGAGACACATGGAGGGGTAGGGAGTGAATGTGACACATGGAGGGGCTGGGGGAGCGATGGAATGAGACATTTAAGGACTGGGGGAGAGAGAGAATGAGACACATTGAGGGGAGGGATGGAATGAGACAAATGGAGGGGCTGGGGGTGATAGGGAATTATACGCATGGTGGATCTGGGTGGAGGGAATGAGGCACATGGAGGGGATGGGGGAATAAAATAATACTGATAGAGGGGCTTGGGTGAGGGAATGAGGCACATGGAGGGGCTGGTGAAATGGAATGATACACATGGAGTGGCTGGATGGAAGCAACAGATGCATGAAGGGGCAAGGGAGGGAATGAGACTCATGGAAGGGCCGAGGAAGCAGTGAGACGTATGCAGGAGCTGGGGTGGAGGAAATGAGACTCTTGGAGGGACAGGGGGAATTAGATACATGGGGGGGGGGGGTATAGTGCAGTTTTCGCACCAGGGCATTGTGGTTTCTAGTTAAGCCTCTGCCTACTAGCATGGGTGAGATTTTTAAGGGAACTTTAAATTTAAAGGAACACTATAGGTTGAGGGACACAAACATGTATTCCTTAAAAACATTATCCAATCCCCCCTGGCCCGCCTTTCTAAATATACTAAAATCTTACCTTTATTCCAGTCTGCTGGTGCTAGTTCTGCCCCTGATCTGTCTCCTTGACTGAGATCATCAGAAGTGCAGCACTGCCCCCCAAGAAGCACCTCTAGTAGCCATCTTAGGAGTGTCCACTGAAGGTGTCCCTAGAGAGCAAAAAGCCTGCAGGGACATACTATAGACACCAGAACAACTACATTAAGCTGTAGCTGTTCAGGTGACTATAGTGTCCCTTTAAGGTTGAAATAGTTAAATTGGAAAAATTCTCTAAGTCAGTTAAACGGTCAGTTTGTGCACTCTGGCCTTACATTTAAAATTCACTCTGAATTCTCACTTTAGTGAACAACCCTGTTTATATTGGAGGTTCAGTGCCAGGTGTTGTGAAAACCATAGAGTAGCGGGATATATAATATCTGTCTTGCATTGGTCCAACTCCATTAATGCTGGGCAGGTGACGCAGCTGATTCCCCAGCCTCGAAGTCTTGCTGGGCCTCGCATATCCTCCCTCCCCCATGGACCGGTGGGGGTCATCCCGGTCCCCACTGGACAGAACAAGCCTGCTTTATCCTGGAAGACTGATGGCAGCACTACTCCATGAGCCAGAAGTTGGACTACACGAAATGGGCGACGCATGTAAGCAGCATGGTTGGAATCTGGAGCCAAGCAGCCCCGACTCAGCGAGCGTATTCTCATAAATGCTGGCACGATTTGATGCTATATGCCTGATCTTCCCACCATGCTGTAGTCACAAGGCTTCATGACTCTATCGGAGCATCCCACCACCATGACACCCTCGCAGACGTGTGAGACGTCGCCCTAGCAGACAGACCGTAAAATTCAAACATGAGGGCAACAACGGGTGGGTCTGTGGTGCTGGGAGCTCTTGGGCTCAAGAAACAGCCAATCTGGAACACGCATGGTTCACGAGGACCATTTTTTGGGGGCAGCAACAAGTATTCAGAGAACACACTACTTACCACTGATGCACGTTTCAGGCATAGGCTGACTGTCCCCCCCATAGTATATAATAAATCCTTCCAAACGTACATTTTCATAAGCTCAATAGCTCAACAGCTTCAATCTTTTTCATTTTGTTTAACATTTGGCAACAAATGCTCCTCCGTACTTTTTGCAGTCTGCATGATTTCACGTCTATTACCCAACAGTTTGTTTATCTGGAAGCATGGAGAGCACGAGCACCTGGGTGTGTTCATTTCGTGTAAATAAGAAGAGGCACAGATGGGAGGTACATTGGCATCTCACACATGCTGCCTGAGTTGGCAGCGATATCTGCCGAAGCATCAAGTTGCTTGTCTTTGATAGGTCAGCGATTTCTCGTCCTCCCCTTGTCTCTGTTAGGGGGATATTCTGTACTGGGATGAAGGCGCTGAAACAATAAACAAATTTGAACCTGGAACAAGTATCTGGCTTATTCCCCAGATTTTGCAGACAGTTTTATTAATGTTTGTTTATTATCCTAACTAAATTTTTGTGGCTGAAGCAGGATGAGTGCAGTTCTCGTCCCAGCAGATAAGTGGTGGAGCATTTTGTAATAAATATTTGTACACAAGTTTTTCTCTGTTCTAGTAGCTCAGAATTTGTTGCTTGCATCACTGTATCACAGAGTTCCACAGCAATACAATAATGTAAGGTGTGTATGAGTGTATCACAGAGTTCCACAGCAATACAATAATGTAAGGTGTGTATGAGTGTATCACAGAGTTCCACAGCAATACAATAATGTAAGGTGTGTATGAGTGTATCACAGAGCTCCACAGCAATACAATAATGTAAGGTGTGTATGAGTGTATCACAGAGCTCCACAGCAATACAATAATGTAAGGTGTGTATGAGTGTATCACAGAGCTCCACAGCAATACAATAATGTAAGGTGTGTATGAGTGTATCACAGAGCCCCACAGAAATACAATAATGTAAGGTGTGTATGAGTGTATCACAGAGCTCCACAGCAATACAATAATGTAAGGTGTGTATGAGTGTATCACAGAGCTCCACAGGTAAGGTGTGTATGAGTGTATCACAGAGCTCCACAGGTAAGGTGTGTATGAGTGTATCACAGAGCCCCACAGAAATACAATAATATAAGGTGTGTATGAGTGTATCGCAGGGCCCCACAGAAATACAATAATGTAAGTTGTGTATGCATGTATCACAGAGCTCTACAGCAATACAATAAGGTAAGGTGTGTATGAGTGTATCACAGAGCTCCACAGCAATACAATAAGGTAAGGTGTGCATGAGTGTATCATGGAGCTCTACAGCAATACAATAATGTAAGGTGTGTATGAGTGTATCATAGAGCCCCACAGAATACAATAATGTAAGGTGTGTATGAGTGTATCACAGAGCCCCACAGAAATACAATAATGTAAGGTGTGTATGAGTGTATCACAGAGCTCCACAGAAATACAATAATGTAAGGTGTGTATGAGTGTATCACAGAGCTCCACAGAAATACAATAATGTAAGGTGTGTATGAGTGTATCACAGAGCTCCATAGAAATACAATAATGTAAGGTGTGTATGTGTGTATCACAGCACCCCACAGAAATACAATAATGTAAGGTGTGTATGAGTGTATCACAGGGCCCCACAGAAATACAATAATGTAAGGTGTGTATGAGTGTATCACAGAGCTCCACAGAAATACAATAATGTATGGTGTGTATGAGTGTATCACAGAGCTCCACAGAAATACAATAATGTAAGGTGTGTATGAGTGTATCACAGAGCTCCATAGAAATACAATAATGTAAGGTGTGTATGCGTGTATCACAGAGATACACAGCAATACAGTAAGGTAAGGTGTGTATGAGTGTATCACAGAGTTCCACAGCAATACAATAATGTAAGGTGTGTATGAGTGTATCACAGAGCCCCACAGAAATACAATAATGTAAGGTGTGTATGCGTGTATCACAGAGATACACAGCAATACAGTAAGGTAAGGTGTGTATGAGTGTATCACAGAGTTCCACAGCAATACAATAATGTAAGGTGTGTATGAGTGTATCACAGAGCCCCACAGAAATACAATAATGTAAGGTGTGTATGCGTGTATCACAGAGATACACAGCAATACAGTAAGGTAAGGTGTGTATGAGTGTATCACAGAGTTCCACAGCAATACAATAATGTAAGGTGTGTATGAGTGTATCACAGAGCCCCACAGAAATACAATAATGTAAGGTGTGTATGAGTGTATCACAGAGCTCCACAGAAATACAATAATGTAAGGTGTGTATGAGTGTATCAGAGAGCTCCACAGAATCACAATAATGTAAGGTGTGTATGAGTGTATCACAGAGCTCCACAGAAATACAATAATGTAAGGAGTGTATGAGTATATCACAGAGATCCACAGCATTACAGTAATGTAAGGTGTAAGGTATATGGTGTATGGTTTGCAAGAGAGTATCACAATGATTGCAAAAGTATAGATAACATGCAGATTCACACAAATCATAATGACTATTACAATGGGTCTTATTTTAATGTACAAGGGGTTTTCTATACGGTTCATAATTGCATGTATGGAGGGTGAAAAAATAGTACTTCAAACTAAATCCTGGAATGGTCAAATGAACCTAAGATTAATTTGGTTTGAAATTCTGGGAAGCAATAAATCCTGGAAACCAGCTTGGAGTAGTGTCAATGTTATGCTTGGCTGTGCCTCTCGATGGGTAGAAACCAGCTGAACAGAGTTCAGTCGTGCATTTTCATCTCCTAAAACCTTAGAATCACAGAATGAGCAATCTACATACAGATGCCATTACCACTCTGCAGTCTGAAATGTTGAGCACAAAACATCCCAACTCTGGAAACAGAGTAAAACCAAACACTGGGGAATGTGCTTGAACTCAAACATATTAACTCAAGGGACCAAACTGAAGCCCGGGGGGAGTGGGCCTTGACAGGGCCAGAAAGTTGGCAGGTGAATTGTAGGTCAAGGGGTTGGCTTAGGTTAATGAATGGGGAGGGGGGTATGAGCCTGTTAAATAGCAGCCATCTTAGTTAAGGTCCATTTTAATTTGAGCTGCTCTTACCTGTGAGTTGTTGCAGGACAGCGTGGCGCTCTCTCTCTTTTCTTTTACAGGTCATGGCTTCCCTTGAAGAAATCCTGGCAGGCGTCCGATCGGTGGTCCGGGAGAAAGGTCTGGCGTGGTTGCAGGAGCAACTAGGGGTCCCGAGCACGTCTGCTCCCCCCCCTTCGCGGCAGCAAAGCGGAGGCCGGTGAGAGGGGCAAGGCCGCCCCAGCGGCTCAGCCCGGGAGCGGCACCAGCGGCGCAGAGGCGGAGGAGCCCATCAGTGCGGGCAGGAGACGTGGCTGGCGGGTCTGGAAGACAGGAAGAAGTGGAGGGGCGACCGGCACCGCTTGTCCGACGCGACGCCGGTCAGGCGAGATCGCGGGCCGGAAAGAGGCCTCCCGCTGTGAGCTCCCCCTGCCACCTGGCGGGGGGCAGTACAGTGCAGAAGGCCTCAGAATCACACAGGCTGGCGCCAAAACGGAGGACCGGAGGGGGAGCAGGACACACAACAAAGCGTCCCGGTGAGGGACAGGTGGGGGGTAGGAGCACAGACACAGACAACACCAAATTAGCAGTCCAACAAAGCGGGGTAGGGGACCAGGAAGGCAGGTCACAAGAAAGGGCGGCCCTTGCAGGGGCTAGGACAAGGGCTGAGGGCGCTGAAGTGGATGGGAGTCACAGGAGTGGGAGTGTGCCCAGGCCCAGTGGAGGGGTGAGTGAACAGAGGGACGTCAGCCAGGAGCGGAGGGATAGAAGGGGCCCAGGCGAGTTGGGGAGCTGGAAGACAGGCACGGCGCAGGCAGGACAGAGCCAGGGTCGAGGCCATGAGGATGAGGGTTCACGGGTAGGCTGCGCGCGGGAGGCCTTAAGGGGTCGTTCCCAGGATCAGCGGAATAGGAGGAGCCACAGTAAAAGGCATGGCAGAGATACACAGCGCAGTGAGAGGGATAGACATGGCAGCATTGGAGGATCCTCGGGAGATGCAGGAGCAGGGATAGGAGCAAAGCAAGGAGCCGTGACAGTAGGAGGAGGTCCACTTCCAGGGACAGGAGGAGGAGGTCCCGGCGCAGCGAGTCGGGGTCGTCTGACAGGGGATACACAGGGCGGAGAAGGAGCAGAAGTGGCCAGGGGGGTCAGGCCATGAATAGGAGTGGGAGTTGGAATGACAGGACAGGAGGCAGAAATGACAGGCGGGTGAGGCTGCAATTGAACAGACTACCCAGGTCACCTTCTCCTTAAGGTCGCGAAGTGTGACGCCTACAAGAGCTAGACACAGCCAGGCGGGCAGGAGTCAGTGTCCCATGGATACTCTGGAGCCGGTCGAGGCAGTCGGAAGGATGGCACCCCCGCGACCATCTGGGGCCGGGGGCTCAGATGGTGAGTCAACACCTGCACCACACTCAGGGAATTTGCTAGGGTGTTTAAAGTCGCTGTTAGAGTCGTGGTCGGGGGATACGGGGCCGTCTACGCAATTCGGGAGGGTGTGGACGGCGGACACTGGTCTGGGTATGGGGGTTGGACCAACAGTCCAAGCAACGAGTGGAGCAAGTGAGGGTGCCTTGGACCCAGTCTCCGGAAAGACGGACAGCGTAGGTGTGCAGGTGGACCAGTGCGGCAGAACGTGCATGTTTCCTTCGCGGGGCGTCACTTGAAAGCGGAGGTTAAGGATAGGATAGGAAAAGGGGAATTTGTTAAAAAAGAAATTTCCATTCTTCCCCTCAAGGAGTTTTTGGACTTGAAAGAAGAAGACAAGAAGGATGCAAAGAAAGAGGAGGAGGAGAAGAGACGGAGGTATCGGAATATACCCAAGACGTTCGGGAACTGGCTGCGGGCCTTTTGCATATTGGCTAGCGTGATCGGGGAAAAGTGCCCGGAGTGCTGCTCGCAGCTTTTTTGCTATTTGGAGGGTATAGGGGATGCCTGCAGAACCTACGGGGAACTTGCATGGTGGAGATACGACGAGCAGTTTCGTCAGCGTCTGGCAGCAAATCCGTCTATGCGGTGGGACCAGATGGACCTGCCGTTATGGATGAGGCTGATGATGGCGCAGAAAAGTGCCCCCTTTCTCGGGGCAGCCGGCGCGGGCCCGAGCGGGAACGCGTCGGCAGGACAGAAGAAGGGGTTTTGCTGGCTCTTCAATGAGGGGCAGTGCAAGTGGGGGGCATCATGTAGATTCAAGCACGAGTGCTCCGGTTGCTGCGGTAACCATGGAGTCTCCAGATGCTTCAAGAAGGAAAAACCTAACGCGGGAGGGGGACCCACCGGGACAACAGCCCCGCTACTGTGGTGGGGGGCTTCGCCGGTGAAAATAGGCGCGATGCTGCCCTGGCTAAAGCAATACGCTAACCAGGAGGTGGTTAGATTCTTATGGCGGGGGTTCACGGAGGGTTTCGTGATTCCTTTCCAGGATAAGGGTCCGAGTATATTATGCGGGAATCTTAAGTCGGTGCTGGAGCATCCTGGGGTGGTTAGGGAGAAGTTGCGAAAAGAGGTACAATTGGGGAGAATGGCGGGCCCGTTTTCTTCCTCGCCAATTGAGTTGAGGGTGTCTCCACTGGGGGTGGTCCCCAAGAAAGAAACGGGCAAATTCCGCCTTATACATCATTTATCATACCCAAAAGGGGCATCGGTGAATGATGATATCGACGCGGCCCTGTGTTCTGTATCCTATACATCATTCGACAATGCTGTCAAGTTGGTTCGGAGAGCAGGTCACGGGGCGCTGATGGTGAAAGTGGATGTGGAAGCAGCGTTTAGGCTGCTTCCCATACACCCGGAGTGTCATCACCTCTTGGGGTGTTATTTCGAGGGGGAGTTCTTTGTGGACCTATGTCTGCCTATGGGCTGCGCTATCTCATGTGCCTATTTTGAGAGGTTCAGTACCTTTCTGGAATGGGTGGTACGGCAGGAGTCGGCTGGGGGTGCGGTGGTGCACTACCATGACGATTGCAGCCAAATATTGAAGGTCTTTCAGTGGGTAGCGCATAAGTTCGGGGTGCCGCTGGCACCGGACAAAATGGTGGGGCCCACCACGTGCCTCAGCTTTTTAGGTTTGGAAATCGACTCGGTGCTTGGAGAACGCAGGTTGCCCTCGGATAAGCTGCATGCCCTACGGCAATTGGTGGACACGTTTGGGAGGGCAAAAAAGGTAACCTTGCGGGGGCTTCAGTCATAGGTGGGGAGCCTTAATTTCGCATGCCGGGTGATTCCCATGGGGAGGGTCTTCTGCAGGCTACTAGCACGGGTGACAAGCGGGGTGAAGCAACCATCACATTATATCAGAGTGTCAGCAGAGATGAAAGCAGACTTAAGGGTCTGGGGGCGTTTTCTGCAGGATTTTAATGGAAGGGTGTTTTTTTGGGAACCAGTGGAGTCCTCGGAGGACGTGGGGTTGTTCACAGATGCATCAGGTAGCGTCGGGTTTGGGGCATTTCTGGCAGGACAATGGTGCGTGAAGGAGTGGCCGGAGGCCTGGAAGGCGAGCCCGCTGATTAGGAACCTGGCGTTCTTAGAATTTTTTTCCGGTAGTGGTGGCAGTGGCCTTCTGGGGAACAGAGCTGGCCTACAAGAGAGTTGGGTTCTACTCGGATAACATGGCGGTAGTACAGGCAATTAATGCTTTGTCAGCATCATCGCTGCCGGTAGTACGGTTACTGAGGCAGTTGGTTCTGTTGTGTATGACATTTAATATTGTGTTCAGGGCTAAGCATATTCCGGGTCTGACGAATGTAGTGGCTGATGCGCTGTCTCGTTTTCAGTAGGACCGTTTTCGTGAAGCGGCACGGGAGGCGAGGGAAACGGGGCAAGCCTATCCGGAGGAGATGTGGCACCTCGGGATGTCCTGCTTGGAGAGTATATAGAAAATTTGCTGGCACCAGGCACTTGGTCATCATATGTCAAGGTTTGGAAGGTTTGGGATGCGACGGTGCAGCAGTTGGGGGCGGAGGGCTCAGCATCCAATCAGCTAGATGTGCTGTTATGGATTCTGTGCCGCTTGTTCGCTAAGCACTCATCGCCATTGGTTGTAGATAGGCACTTAGTGGCACTGGCGTTCCTGTTCAAGTTCAATGGCTGGGTAGATGTGACAAAACATTTTATGGTGAGGCAAGCGGTTTGGGGTTTTAGGAAGGGTAAGGAGGCACGGGACTCGAGGAGACCAGTTTCGTTTAAGGTACTGCAAGGGCTGGTGGACAAGTTACCAGGAATATGTTTTTCCACACTCGAGGTGGCGTTGTTTACGACGGCGTTCGTTTGGGCCTTTTTTGGGGCGTTTCGGATAGGGGAATTGGTTAGCACCAACAAAGCAGGGGTTGGCGGGTTGAGATTGGAAGATGTGGCGGTGGGTACAGACAGGGTACGAATATGGCTGGCCTGCTCGAAGACTAATGTCTTTGGGAAGGGTTGTTCGGTTACTCTGTTTGAATTACCAGAGTCTGGGTTGTGCCCAGTGGCTTGTGGGGCCGAGTTCATGGAGCTACGGCCAGAGGTCAAAGGATGTTTCTTTATTCATACTGATGGTACAGCGCTGTCGCGCTTTCAGTTTACAAGGGTATTTCGGTTGGGGTTACAGAAGATGGGCCTAGAGCCCTTGCAATTTGGAAAGCACTCATTCCGTATTGGGGCTGCCACGGAGGCTGCGGGCTTGGGTTTAGGGGAAGAGCAGATCAAGCGTATTGGTCGGTGGGAATCGCTACGGTTCCATGCATACGTGCGGCCGGACAAGCTGGTTTGAATCGGAGGAAGTGGGGGAACAGCGACATAGGGGGAGTGCGCTGCTTTATCCCTGTTTAGACTCTTCCAGGTTGGACGGCATGGATAATCGGACATTGCCGGATGTGGTAGTGGTTCACGGCGGGGGTAACGACTTGGGGTTGGTTCCGCAACGTGATCTGATCAGGCGAATGAAGAGGGATGTGGATCGGCTGAGGGGGCTGGTTCCTGGTGTGACAGTGGTGTGGTCTGAGATCGTGCCTCGTTTCAAGTGGAGGCATGCCAGGGACACAGCCGTGGTAGCCCGATGCCGGGGTAAGATCAATAAGACCATGGCTGTTTTCATTCTCAGGCTAGGGGGTGTAGTAGTTCGACACCGGGAATTGGAGGAGAGGTTACCTGGATACTTTAGACCAGACGGAGTGCACCTGTCTGACGTGGGTTGTGATCTTTTTAATTTAGGCTTACAGGAAGGTATAGCTCAAGCCCTGTTTAAGTGTGGTGCGGGTCGCACATGATCTTAAGGGTGTCAAGAGGCGTAAATATGGGTTTGTAGAACAGTATATCTAATTTTATTATGGCATGACAATTTCACGATTGATTCTACAGACTATTCAGTCACTCAAACAGATATTAAAATGTATTAAGTAACTAAGAGTCCTTTTTATTTACCAGAGAATATTTTAGTTTTAGATTTTTGTAATTGTCACCATCCCTCCTCATTCTGTGCCTGTCAATCTCTTACATTTCCCTCTCTGTCTTTTTCCTGCACTCTTATCTAAAGCACTTCCTTCCATTTCCTTTTCCTTCTCATTTTGTTTTGGGTACGTCCTGATCTAAACCACTTCCTACTACCAAGACACGTATGTCCTCCATATAATACACATTCTTTCTCTTTATTTTTCCCTTTGCCTCACCCTGTCTGCTGACAAAATTCCATCTAATTAAACTTGTTGAACTGATACAGAATGTTCTTAAAAGGACACCTTGAGCATATCACATCTGCTCATTTCTGGCACAAGAAGGTCCCCTGTCTCCCCATTCTCTCCCTGATGTAAAATGAGTATTTTTAGTTCTGGTACAGCTGCTAAGAGCTTATTCAGCAGTGCCATATAATAAATGTAAATGCTGCCGTGGCTAAAGTACATATCTCATAAACCCCTGCTTATTAACTGAGGGCTCAGTGGCTGCTTTTTACATACCTCCCAACATTTCAAATGGTCAAGGTGGGACTTTAATTTTAGGTGTGTGAGTGGGGGTATGGTTAGAGGCAGGGCTGTTCAGATAAATTTTGGAGACTTACACTTACAAGCATCAGATAAAATGTAATTTAGAATAGGAAATATGTGTCTTACTTACACAGACAGATTTATATTCTCATTTATTGTACTTTAAAGACACCATAGTCACAAAAACCACTTTAGCTTAATAATGCAATTTTTTGTGTATAGATCATGCCTCACTTCTGCTCAATTAAGTGGTCTGGGTGCCAGGTCCCTCTAGTTTTAACCCTGCAGCTGAAAACATAGCAGTTTTAGAGAAACTGCTATGTTTCACTGAGGGTTAATCCAGCCACTAGTAGCTGCCTCACTGATAGCCGCTAGAGGCGCTTCCGCGATTCTCACTGTGAAAATCACAGTGAGAAGATGCTGGACGTCCATAGGAAAGCATGTGTGAGCGTGCGCGCAGCTCTTGCTGCGCATGTGCATTCGGAGCTGAGAGGCGGATTGGGGCAGAGAGATCCTCAGCGCCAAGGGAGCTGGGCGCTGGAGAAAGGTAAGTGCTGAAGGGGTTTGTACCACACATACACTCTCACGAACAGATGCATACACACTAGCTAACAGACACATGCATTTACTGACAGACACACGCTCAGTGACAGACATACATACACACTCACAAAACACACAATCACTAACAGACACCAAACAGACTCACTAACAGACACAGACAGTAACACACTCACTGACACACACACTCACTGACACACAAACTAACACACACACTGACAGTCACTAGCAGACACAAACTCAATAACACACACAGTAACAGACACACACAGTGACACACACACTCTAACACTAACACACATACACACTGAATTTTTTTAATTTTTTTTAAAATCCCCCAGCCTCCCTACCTTTGGCAGTGCTGAAGAGATTCCTGATTTCTCTGGGGTCCAGTTGGCTCCTGGGCAGCCGGTCCTGCAGGTGGCAAGGGAGCACTGATCCTCCTGTTCAGCTCCCTCGCATGCTATTTACTGATGCCGGAACCGGAGTGACGTCATATTCTGGCTCCGGCATCACTGGGAGAAGAGGCTGGCAAACTGGCGTACATACCGGGTCTGAGGGCGGCCGTGCCCCCTGGTGGTCCGGACCCGATCGCAGCTGCGACCCCTGTGACCGTGGTATGTACGCCAGTGGGTAAGGGAAGGTAGGGGCAAGGAGGGGGGAGAGGGCTGCACACAGAAGGGGCTGCACACAGAGGGGGGAAGGGGGCTGCACAAAGGGGGAATGAACTGCACAGAGGAGGGAAAGGGGGATACACACAGGGGGAATGAACTGCACAGAGGGGGGAGGGGAATTCACACAGGGCAAGGGGACTGCACAAAGGGGGGATTAACTGCACAGAGAGGGGAAAGGGGGATTCACACAGAGGGAATGGGGCTGCACAGAGGGGGGAAAGGGGGATTTACACAGGGGGGGAAATGGATTCACACAGGGGGTGGGGGCTGCAAACAGAGGGGCAAGGGGGCTGCACACAGAAGGGGCAAGGGGGCTGCACAAAGGGGGGAATTCATTGCACATAAAGGGGAAATTTACTGCACAGAGAGGGGAAAGGGGGATTCTCAGGGGGGTGGGGGGAGCTACACACAGATGGGGTAAAGGGCTGCAAACAGGAGGAAGAGGTTGCACAAAGAGGGATGGGCAGCACGCAGGAGTGCCAAGGGGCTCACTGTGGTGGTAGTGGGGGGTTAAGGGCTTTAAAATATTACAACAATACAATGCAAAAAAAAAACAATAATGCACCTTGCCATTTGTTGTCCCCCTCCCTTTGGCTTAACCTTGGGCCAGAGAGGGGAGATACAATGACCTGGCCTGACTGGGGGGGACTCTGCTGTGCACGATGCACAGCAACACTCTGTGTCTGTCACTTCCTGCTGTCAGACAGTGGCAGTGCTGAAGGGCTGCTGCCTGCTGGAGAGGCAGTGAGGGAGATCTGATTTTGTGCGGAGCAGGAGGAGAAGGTTCCTTCCTGGCTGCCTTACCACCCCCACGGTCCCCCCTGGGCTCCACCCCCACCCCCAGAGTTCCCCCGGGCCCCACTCCCTGCACCACATGCCCCAGTCAGACAGCATACGGGCCCTGCTTACCTGCTGCATCAGTCACTGAGTCTGAGACTCAGAGCAGCCAGCCAGGCCCAGAGGAGGCGGGCTGAAAGCTAGCCGGATAGGAGGCATGTGTGGGTGTGGTGGGTGTAGGTGTCATAAGTGGGTGTGTCAATTAGAGTAAGGGATGGGTGTGGTCCTTTATATACCAGTCATTTTGTCTCCCTTACCTCAGCCATCTTAGATTTAACGGCGTGGTAACATCTCTGCATCCTCCTGTGCTTACCACTGCTTGTCAAACGGCCAAGGGTATGGATATTGATGCAATCCTCGCTGCCCTCCGGGCTGAGGCCCTTCAAGATGGTGGACGGCACCTGCAGTCACAGCTAGTACGCCTGCAGGGTGCTCCTAGTGTGGCTGCTCCCTCTAATGGCAGCCCTGGGAACCAGGGTGCTGATCTTGTGGCTGCTCCCTCTAATGGCGGCCATGGGAATCAGCGCCGTCGCGCACGTCCCCCTGCCCGGTATAGCCCCTCACGGGAGGGTCGGGTGAGGGAGAGGAGTAGGAGCCCTGTTGCAGGCCCGCGCGCCGGTTCCTCCGCGGCCGCGGCCAGCACCTCCTCCCGTGTGTCCACACGCCGGATTGCCGCCGGTCATGCCGCATCGCGGCTACCACCCCCCCCGGTCTCGCGGGCTCGGCGGAGGTCGGCCGCGAGAACACAGCACCTCACCGCACAGCGGGCACTAATCACCAGGTCGGCCTTGGCGGGATCAACGGCTGTGCAAGGGCGGGTGGCCCGCTCTCCCGGTCGGGTAAGTAGGCCGCTGGTCGGCAGGGCTGTCTCCAGGGGGGTGGGGGGTTCTGGGGCACTGGGCAGGGAGTATGCTTCCCCTAACTTACCTCTCAGGCCTCCCCCTGCTCTCCCTCCACACTCTGTCTCCCCTGGAGCTGCTCCTGCGCCTGCTCCACTGTCTGCTGGACCTGTCCCTGTGGCAGCTGGGTCACACTCTGCCCCTCCACTTCTCCCTTCCTCCTCAGCTGCCCCCATCATGGCTGGGGCCCTTTCAGGGTCTCCTGGGCCTGCCCCTCTCAATTTCCCTGCCTTGCCCGCTGACCCACTCATAGCTGGTGCCCAGCTTGCCCCCCCTGGCCCACTTCAGACCACGTTGCCCCCCATTCATCCTGCCACTCTTACAGCAGGGGCCCATTGTTCCCCCACAGGGCCCTCCCCTACCGGTTTCGTTTCTACTGGGGTGGGTGGGCCGGGGTCCATCTCACCTGTGTTGTCTTCGCAGATTACTCCTGGTAGGCTCTCGGTTCGTTTTGCTGACGTTGCGGCTGGTGCAGATCCTCCTGCAGTCGCTGTTCCAGCTGGGCCACCACAGTCTAGCGGCCAAGTCGTGGCTCCACAGATGGCTTCACCTTCGGTTTCCGCCAGTGAGTATATTAGTTTACAGGGTTTGGGGCCGGGGTGTGTTAGCGCAGTCATGCCAGAATGGGATTCGTTGCTGCAAACTATGCGACAGGTTTTGCATTCTTTGGAAAAGGGCCCCCCCTCTGGGGCCCCCCTCACCTCGACTTTAGATAACCAACTTAGAACGGGTTGGGCGACTAGCGGAGGGTCAGGTGTCCCGCCTTCTACTTCGGCTGTCTCAGGGGGGCCTACTGCCCTCCTAGAATCTTTGCCTGCCGCAGGAGAGCTCGGAACCCCCGTGGGGTCAACAGTGACCCCCACTGCGGTTCAGGACTTGGGGGTTGCACCCGCTGCGCACGGGGCGGCTTACATGTGTTGGTCAGGCCCCCTGGGCCTCCATTTGACAGCTGAATTGCGGGCCAAGATAGAGAAAGGGGAATTTGTCGAAATATTTTCCCTTCTCCCTATGGAGGACTTGCCTCGGGTTGATCCTGCAGCAAAGGAGTCAGAAAAGGAGAAAGAGAAGTTTCGGTATCGGAAGATACCAAAAACTTTTGGGAATTGGATCAGGGCCTTTTCTATCCTGGCTAGCGTTATAGGGGAAAAGACTCCCAACAAATGCTCTTCTCTATTTTGCTACCAGGATATGATCTGGAACGCGTGTCGGGTTTATGGCGGGTTAGGCTGGTGGCGGTATGATGAACAATTCCGCCAGCGCCTAGCGGTGCGCCCTTCCCTGAGTTGGGATCAAATGGATATCGGCTTGTGGTTGGCCATCATGACCCGTCCCGCTTCACATCAGGGGGGCCTGTCGTCCTTTCTTGGGGGGGCCGGCGCAGGGTCCTCACCCTCCGCGTCGGCCACTCAGCGTAGAACAGGTTGTTGTTGGCAATTTAACGACGGCCAGTGTAAATTCGGAGCAAATTGTCGCTTCAAGCACGAATGCTCCGGTTGCGGCGGGTCCCACCCCGCTTCTAAGTGTTTTAAGCGGGGTAAGTTTGGCGACAAAGGGGATGCCATGGGCGCTAAGGGCGAAGACGCCGGTGGACGTCGTCGCGATGCGTCCGTGGCTAAAACGTTATAGGAACAAAAAGGCGGCTGCCTTGCTCCTGGAAGGGTTTACTCATGGTTTTTGGATTCCCCATCGGGCTCGTTCGCCCTCAGGGTCGTGTCGGAACCTGCGTTCTGTTGCTGAACACCCAGGGGTGGTAAAAGACAAGCTGGCTAAGGAAGTGGCATTGGGCCGCATGGCTGGCCCTTTTCGTGAACCCCCCCTTCCTGACCTTCGAATATCGCCACTAGGCGTCGTTCCCAAGAGAGAGCACGGGAAATTTTGGCTAATTCATCATCTCTCGCACCCCCAAGGGGGTTCCGTGAATGATGACATTGCGGCGGAGCTATGCCGAGTTTCTTACGCCTCGTTTGATACTGCGGTTGGTATGGTTAGGGCCGCGGGCCCCGGTGCACTGATGGCAAAAACCGACATTGAGTCGGCTTTTCGCCTCCTGCCGGTTCACCCGGAGTGTCATCATCTGCTCGGCTGTTCCTTTGAAGGGCAATTTTACGTGGATATGTGCCTCCCGATGGGTTGTGCAATATCCTGTTTTTATTTTGAATGTTTTAGCTCCTTCATGGAATGGGTAGTGAGAGCTGAGTCTGGCTATGACTCAGTGCTTCACTATTTGGATGATTTTCTTTGTGTGGGTCCCGCGAACTCCCCGGTATGCGCGCACATTTTGCAATCGGTAGCCGACGTGGCCTGTGGGTTCGGCGTGCCTCTGGCGCCCGATAAGACGGTGGGCCCTTCCCCGTGCTTGTGTTTTCTGGGAATTGAGATCGATTCGGTTATTGGGGAATGTCGCCTCCCGCTGGATAAGTTGGAGGATCTGCGGGGGGCTGTGCGGGAGGCGATCTCCCTCCGGAAGATTACTTTACAACGGCTTCAATCCCTTCTTGGCAAGTTGAATTTTGCATGTCGGATTATGCCTATGGGTCGAGTGTTTAACCGGCGCCTAGCGGCCGCCACGGCAGGAATTGTAAAATCATTTCATTTTATCCGCTTAACCAAAGTGCTCAAGGAGGACTTGGCAGTATGGATGGTTTTCTTAGATGGGTACAATGGCAGGTCCTATTGGCAACAACCAGAGGTGTCGAATTCTGTGCTACACCTGTTTACTGATGCGGCAGGTGCATCAGGATTTGGGGCTATCTTAGGGACGCAATGGTGCGCGGAACCTTGGCCTGAGGCTTGGGTTGCTGCTGGCCTTACCAAAAATATGGCCCTCCTTGAGCTCTTCCCCATCGTGGTGGCAGTTCATTTGTGGGGAATGGAGTTCAGGGACCGGCGCGTCGTCTTCCATTGCGATAACTTGGGGGTGGTGCAGGCCATTAATAATCTAACGGCCTCCTCCCCTCCGGTGGTCAGGCTCTTGCGGCGTCTGGTCTTACGATGCTTGTCATTGAACGTTTCATGCCGCGCTGTGCACATTCCAGGTGTTGTGAATACCACAGCTGACGCTCTCTCTCGTTTCCAATGGCAGGTATTTCGATCGGCTGCTCCGGAAGCGGATCTG